CCCCTCAGGCCATCACCACACTGTTGTCTTTGTCCATCGGTTATGCATATATGTTCTTTGGCTAATCTCTTCACCTTCTTTCATCCAGTCTCCCTCCCCGCTCCCCTGTCAGCTGTCAGTCTGTTCCATGTACTTCCTTTGGATGTAAGGGAGAATTTATGACTAGGCAAGAAATCCCCTAAAATGACTGGAAATTGAGACTTAAATTAAGTTCTTTCCTGATTATTGTTTATTTGTAATAACTGTGAAAATTAGAAGGGATTTAAGGTTTTTACAAAAGTTACAGAATGATAATATGATGAATGAGGGCCTGTCATGATATGGATTTCAGGATGAAATGCTTGATATGTTGCATGAAAGGTGTTAGGGCATGCCTTCCTAAGCAGCGGGTATGAAGTACACGTTTTGGAAAAAATGAGAACTTAAGTGTATTGGTTTAAATTTTTTTTCTAAAATATCTTTGTGTCAAAACCAATAACAAGAAAATCAGAATTTAAAACCATTAATGTGCTTATGTCACACTGGAAAGCAGCCAGTGTTCTAGAGGGAATGAACAGCAGGTTTTCCTGCTCGTGAAGTGGACTTCACCCCACCGAGAGGCTAGGGAGCAAGAGTCAGGTCTGCGCGTTAAAGCCAAAAATCAAATGCAGCTACATGACATCTTCTCACTTATCATTCATACTCTATCCTGTAGGTACCTGATGCCCAGATGGGCTGCTGGGAAGGGTCAGCTTCAGACTGATCTTAGCATGAACTTGACTCTGGGGAAATAACTAGACCATTTTTCTTGTACTAGCGAGTCTTGAAACTTTTAAACTACTTTATAGTTTCTTCTTTTTTTAATCCTCACCCAAGGATATGTTGTTATATGATTTTAGAGAGAGAGAGAAACATTGATCAGTTGCCTTCTGTACACTCCCTGAATGGGAATCGAACCCGCAACCTTTTTTTTTTTTTAAATATTTTATTGATTTTAGAGAAAGGAGAGGGAGAGAGAGAGAGAGCTAGAATCATCAATGACGAGAAAGTCATTGATCGGCTGCCTCCTGCACGTCCCCTACTGGGGATCAAGTGCGCAACCTGGCATGTGCCCTGACCAGGAATCAAACCATGACCTCCTGGATCATAGGTTGATGATCCTCTGCTGAGCCACGCTGGCTGGGCGAACCCACAACCTTTTGATGTATGGAATGATACTTCAACTGAGCTACCCAACCAGGGCCAGTTTCTTCTTAAACATTAATTCTAAGTTATAAAAAGTCTGATTTTTCTTCTCACTGGCAAGCTCTTCTCTCGGTAGCAGAGCTCTGTGAGAGCAGGGCTTTGTCTGTCTGGCTTACTGCTCGATCCCCAGAACCTGGATTAGGCAGTGCCAGGTGAAGAGTAATTTAAGTCAGTATGTTATTTTTTTAAATCCTCACCCAAGGATATTTTTCCATTGCTTTTAGTTAGAGTGGAAGGGAGGGAGGGAGGGAGAGAGAGGGGTAGAAAGAAAGAAACATCGATGTGAGAGAGACACATTAATTAGTTGCCTCCCATGTGTACCCTGACCAGCACCACCCTGGGGAACAAACCTGCAACCCAGGCATGTGCCTTTGACTGGGAGTCAAATCTGCAACCCTCTGGTGCACGGGTCAACGCTCCAACCACTGAGCCACACCAGCCAGGACTAAGTATTTAGTTATAAAGTTTAAAAAATTAACCTGTATCCAGTCTTTGTTTTGGATGGAAGCTTGTGTGAACTAGAAGCTCGGTGACAGTATGTTCCACTTTGCCTGGGACAGTCTTAGTGACACCCCACCTGTTGTCCTGGCATAATTACTAGTAGCACCCTCTTTCCCTCTCACTTAGGTCCCCATTTGGAGGCTGCATGATAAAGCCTCCCCCGCCCCAGCTAGAGCCGTTGTGGAGGACAGAGGATGTGACAGTGATGATGCTGTGCCCTGGAGACAAACTGTAGTGACACAGAACTCCGGGTAAAGGAAAATAACAAACCACAGCCACAGCTGAGCATAGGTTTGAGTTACTATTTTAATCATTTAATTTTGAAATTGAGCATATGATGCAAAAAAGAAACTGTTGCTATAATAGGTTCAAGTAAATTGTATTATACTTCATCCCATTTATTCCTCATTTATTGTGATTTACTAATTAGTGAAATGCTTATTTTTACTATGTGCATTAACACACATTGGAATACTTTTGAAGTTATTTTATTGTATACGTTGTACCAGCTTTTTATAACTAGCTTTATTGAGATACAATCTATGTATTGTACAATTCACCCTTTAAAGTGTACAATTCAGTGGTTTTTAGTATAGTCACAGAGTTGTACAGCTGCCACCACTGTCTAATTTCAGAACATTTTCATCATCTCAGAAAGACAACCTGTGCCCATTCACACTCACTTGGTCTTCTCCCCTTTAGCACCAGCAACCACTAATCTGCTTTCCTTTTTGAGTTTGTGTTCTGGACATTCCACATAAATGGAATCGCCCAGTATGTGGGCTTTCGTGTGGCTTCTTTCATGGACTGCCTGTGGCTCACTTCTTGTATGTGTGGATGCGCCGTGTTTGGTTTCTCCATCCGTTGATGGACACTCGGGTTGGTTCACTTTTGGGCTGTTACGAATGTTTCTATGAACATTAATGCACAGGTGTTTGTATGGACATAGGAATGCGCGTATGTGATAGTTGAAATACAGAGGTTTTCCTTTTCATGAAGTCCAGTTTTCTGCTTTTTCTTTTGTTACTTGTGCTTTTGATTCCACATCTAAGAACCTGCCTACTTCAGGGACACAAGGATTTAATGTTTTCTCCTGAAAATTTTGTTTAGGTCTTACACTTAGGTGTGTGATCCATTTTGTTAATTTGTGTGAGAGGGAGAGGGTTTAACAGACTTTGAACTCAGGTGTCTCACCTGCAGGCACTTTGTAGGAATATTTCAGATTTCTTGTGCTTCGTGTCTTTCTCTGGACTAATGAAGCACTCGATAGGCTTCCTTTCTGTGTGCTGTTGAAATATAGTGCATTTCATGTATGTCCTTTTTTCCTGGTCACCAGTATTCACTGAAATACAGGACCAGGACTTGCCTTCATAGTTTCATTGTGTGGTGCAAAACCTCCTGTATTTGTATGTTTAATTCTGGAATAATATTCTTTTATGGACAGAATAATATATTTCACTTAATAATTAAGAGATATATAATGGAAGTACTTAACTTTTTTCCTTAAAAAGTAATCTAACAACCTGGGACTGGCAGATACAGTCGCAATCCCAAAGCCTTTACTCCACAGAAGGAGCTCTCCCAAGGGCTTGTTGCCCGTCTTTTTTCTGTGGCCCTGTCAAGCTGATTCTCCCCCAGAGTGGCCGGCAGGCCTGGGCTGCTGAGTGTAGCACTGGCGGCAGGGCACCCATCTAGTAAGTAGCTTCACTGGTCTCTTGTTTGCACGCTTATGTGTGAGAGCTGATGCTGAGGAAGGGAGAAAGGCTGGGCATGGTTTAAAAAGCGAAGACTGTCACAGTGTAAGTGCCTAGTTACTTGCAAAATATGTTTTAGCAAAACATGATATATTTTCCTAAGAGAAAAACTTTTCAAGGCAAAAAATTCTTTTAACTTGTGAGGGGAGCCACTTCTCTTATTTTACTTTTTATAATAAGTGCTGGTAGTGCAGGTGGCTGTTTCTTGTGTGTTATATGGAGGGCTGTATCTGGTATATGGACTCGAGTCCCTGACTCCTCAGATGAGCCTGTACTTGGCATTTCTACTAGCAGTAGATATACAAGTTTGGGAGCTTAGGATTTGTTTTTAAGTAACCTTTATCAACTAGTTATAAGACAGCATTTCTTATCATTGAGTTAAATGTAAGAATGTGGACATATAGTCATAGGGTTTTTGCATCATGTATTTTTCCCACCTATCTACATAATCCACATTTTCTGTTTAGAGGCAATTCTGTATTCTGTTTTATTGCAATGTTATGTATTCAATACTTGTTGGTGTTTAGGATTATTTTGCATATTGTCCTGTTATAGATAGCATGTTTACAAATACAGTTTTTTGTGTGCGATTTACTTGGTTAAAGTATGTTAGATATTATAGGCTGTTTGGGAATATTTTTACCAGTTTATAGTGATGCTAGTTAGGGCTGAATAAATAGTTTTTTATAGTCTTTCAGCACTGAATTGTTTTCATCACTGTTATGCACACTTTAAGTCAAATTTGGGGTAAACCCTATCTTCGAAGGTTGCACATACTTGCATGCCTCTTGATGGATTTTAGAATAAAAACTGGCATCCTCAAGGCTCTATGTCTTTGTTGTTCTGGGCAGATAGTGCTGCTTGGTAGTAGCATTCATTCCCAAACCTGGAAGATATTTATTCCAAGTCAGAATAGATAAATGGAAATAGAGCTCTCTCCCCTTCCCAGAGAGCTTGTTTTAGCATGTTACGTGTGAGCTTTTTGAGTGCTTTCCCTTGCTTGGGTGAGATCAGCAGCCATTATAAATTCAGTAGCGCTGCATTGTAGAAAATACAGAAAGAGAAACAACCTTATAATGAAGCTGGTGTGGGGGGGGCACCCGCTTTGTATCCTTATGGGCACTTTGAAGATCACTCTTGTGGTCATATGTAGAACATAGTTTTCACATCTGTTCTTTTGCTACCAAATATTTACCATATAATTACCCCATGTTATTAAGTAGTATTAAATATTCATCAAATGGGTGTACCATGGTGTGATTGGTTTGTTTTTAACTGCCATTCTCATATTACTGAGCATTTGAAATATTGCAGTATAAATAATTTTGCAGTGAGCCTTTCTGAGGATGGGAGTATGTTCCAGGGTTTATTTCCTTAGGCTGGATTCCTAAAACTGGAATTTCTGGGTTAAAGGGGATGTTCGGTGATTGTTCAGACTCTGTTCTCATGAACACTTTGTTTTCTTCTACAGTTTAAGGAAGGCGGGTCCTTAGCCTCCCCTAAGATGGCAGGTCCTCTTCCCTTGTAAAAATAAACCTGACCTGCAGCGGGAAGCCATGCTTAACTCCATCTGCAGTCCTCACACTGGTGCCAGAGCTTAGTTTTTACACCAACCTCTTTAAAAAGAAATAGTCTGTAAAGATTTTTTAATTCACAGTTCTGTGCACATCATGATTACAATTCTGTAGATATAGCAATTTGTAAGAATGTACATTGAAAGCATATAGGCCAAAAGAAAAAGTCCCTGTGGGGTGGGATTACAGGTCATTTTTCCTTTTGTGTTAGTAATTTTCTGTGATGTTCTTTTATTTTCTTTATGATTAAGGAAAGAGGAAGAGTATGTTTCTAAATTGAGTTGAATAAGTGGGTGGAACAGATGAAGCCTCCTAAGAAGACCTGTAAGCACAGAACTGGTGTCTATTAATGCATATCATGAGAAAATTCACCGTGTTGGTTAAACCGTGATAAGCAAAAGGGGAGAAATTGGCCTTGCATGAGGTGTGCCCATTGGGCGCTTGCAAGCCTCCTCTCCAAGCCAGATGCAGGACTCTGGCTTGCTCTGGGTCTGAGAGGGTGTGAGGGATGGAGTGCAGCTTCTCTGTGGGAGCTGCACCCATGACACTGAGGGGCACCCATGGAGGCCTCTCCAAGGGCAAGGGTGGGGTGTCCTGTGAAAATTTCTAACAGGTAGAGAAAACAAGTTATTCATAATGGAAGTTATCCTAGGGCAGTTTGGCTTAAGAATAACTTATTATTAAAAAGGCTTTTATAGTTATAGACCATTTACTAGCTTGTTAGTCATTCTGTTGTGTCAGTCAGGGCTACTTGTATCTATACTGCAGCCAGCGCAGTTTAGAGTAACTTCAAGGTTTATAAATTGATGCCTTGATATCTATCTTAGATTTTACAACAAATATATAGAAATGAATGGTATTTGATTCAGGTTGGCATCTAGAGCTGTGTGCTGTCTAGTATAGTAGCACTAGCTACTTGTGGCTATTTACATTTAAATGAATTAAAACTTTAATTCCTTAGCCACATTTCAAGTACTTAGAAACCGCATACAGCTAGCATCTACCCTATTGGGCAGTATAGATGAAGTGTATCTCCACCATCAGGAAGTTCTCTCCAATAGCGCTGTTCGAGAGGAAAAGATTCCTTTTTCTTTGTGTGGTAACATGCAAAATAGTGGTCCAAGGAGTTTAAATAGTGTGTATTTTAAAGCTTTTTCTAAGCAAATTTGCAAGTTGCAAAAAATTACCAAGTTGGAGTGGGAGTGCTTCCATTAATTCTGCAAATTAAAACGTCCTGGGTGCACTCAGCAGGTTCTCCTTATTTAAAGAAACCTAGAATTGATGTGCGTGAACTAGTCCCTGTTAAATTAATGCCTGTTTGTATTTGCCAAGCTTACTTGAAATATGACACACTCACGTATACGTTTAATTATTCTTGAAGAGAAAAGCTGGCCTTCTTTGTTGTTGCATAGTGTTGAGCAGGTAAGTACCTGCTTCGTTGAAAAGAACCTGCCTGGACCAACAGTGGGAAATGCAAATTTGGAGCTTTCTTGACAGTGCCTGTTTTTCCCTGTAGGAGAACTGCGGCACATCACCAAGCTGAAGCCCTGGAGTCTCTTTGATGTACTTGTGGAAAAGTATGGGTGGCCCCATGAAGATGCTGCACAGTTTACAGATTTCCTGATTCCGATGTTAGAAATGGTTCCAGAAAAACGAGCCTCAGCTGGCGAATGCCTTCGGCATCCTTGGTTGAATTCTTAGCAGATTCTACAAATATAGCATTCTGAGCTAGCAAATGTTTTCCAGTACATTGGACCTAAACGGTGACTCGCATTCTTTTAACAGGATTACAAGTGAGCTGGCTTCATCCTCAGACCTTTATTTTGCTTTGAGGTACTGTTGTTTGACATTTTGCTTTTGTGCACTGTGATCCTGGGGAAGGGTAGTCTTTTGTCTTCAGCTTAGTAGTTTACTGACACACTTTCTTCTGGAAACAATAACATGTCTCTAAGCATTGTTTCTTGTGTTGTGTGACATTCAAATGTCAGTTTTTTTGAACGAAAAATACTTTCCCCCTTGTGTTTTGGCAGGTTTTGTAACTATTTATGAAGAAATATTTTAGCCGAATACTATATAATTTACAATCTTAAGAAATTATCAAGTTGGAACCAAGAAATAGCAAGGAAATGTACAATTTTATCTTCTGGCAAAGGGACATCATTCCTGTATTATAGTGTATGTAAATGCACCCTGTAAATGTTAATTTCCATTAAATATAGGATGGGAACTCCAATTTCAGAAAAGCTACCAAGTCTTGAGTGCTTTGTAGCCTAAGTTGCATGTAGTGGACTTAGCTCCAGGGAGTTGTACAAACTTCATTCTATAATAATAATACTTTTTCTTTGGAACTTAAACAAAGTGGCTCTGGGTTATGTCATTCCCAATATGGCACTTAGAGAAAGAAAAACATACTTCCCATTCTAAAGTACATATTATAGTTTAGCATTCCCCTTCCTATTTTTGTGTATTTTAAAAGTACTTTTAAGGAAAAACAGCAGTTTCCCTTTAAAAATGTGATGGCCCTGTACCATGTGGTGTTGCCTCCTCCAAACACTGTAAGTTAAAGTCTACACAGATTAAACTGGACAAGAGAAAGATATTCAGTGTGTGAAATGAAAAAATATATTTTTGGAAAATCTTGCTTGTGTTTGTCTATAACCAAGGTACGGTATATACAGTTTGCAGTGCAATGGACAGTATACTAACAACTCAGAGGTAACAGTGATCGTGTTCATTCCATGGGCATTTTTATATGACTACAACAAATTTTACTAGCTTTTTTATTGTTTTTCTGTGCATTGAAGTTGAGAAAATGATTTTCCCTTTGCAGGTTGCACACAATTTTGTTTATGCATTTCCTTAAAATTGTAGAATCCAGGACACAAACCATAGTAGGCAATACAATTTTAGAATGTAATATATAGAGGATATTTAGCCTCTTTTAGAAGTCATTGGATTGAATGCCAGGTGTTTTTTTTTAATTTTACATTAAGGTGCCTCCTTTTCCTTGACTTTGTCTATTAACATTCATCCGTATGCCTTTGCAATAACTAGATTGTGAAAAGAGAACAAGTGTTGTAACAATAACCCATTGTTTGAGGTGCTTGCAGTTGTTTTAAAAATTAAAGTGTTTTTGGGGTTTTTTTTCCAGACATTGCCTTGATCATTGGCCTATATTTGAATCAATAGAATCAACAAACATTTGCTATCCTTTGAGTGTAGTATCCAAAACTAAAGGGAATGTCATCATTCCTGTTGCAGGAAATGTAGTTCTTCCATAACATGAATTAAGGCTTTATACAAGGAAATCATTCATTGTTTTGTAAGGGTATAGAATATGGATTTAGAGAAGATGCTATAGTATAGATTTAATACGTAGAATTTCAGTGATCCTTTTTCATTTATGTTTTATGGAAAACATTACCTATACTTTGAGCATTGCAGATTTTTTTCAACAGTATTCACTATGAGGGAACAATACACATAATCCTGTTTGGCATGAGCATTATATTACATATCACTGTGAGGTGGAACATACCATTCATTTATGAAATGTGCTTCTGAGTTTTTCTGATGAGGCTATCGGTTACCATGTAGGTTCTATGACAGATGGTGGCTATAGACCAGTGATGCTATCCATCATTTCTGTAGGAGCCATAAGAATTTTTACCAGGGCTATAGCACACTTGAATGAAATTTATCTAATGCAGTTTTGGTTGTTAGAAAATTAACTAGATTATGAATTTTTAAGGATTTGTTCCTTATGATAAAATAGCCTAATTAGTTTATAATGTAAAAAAGAATTTTCTTGCCCTGGCAGCTTAGTTGGTTGGAGCATCATGCCATACACCAAAAGGTTGCGGGTTCGATTCCTGGTCAGGACACTTACTTAGGTTGTGGGTGCAATCCCCGGTCGGGTGCACACGGGAGGTAACCGATAGATGTTTCTCTCTTTCTCAAATCAAGTAGAAACATATCCTTAGGTGAGGATTTAAAAAACAAAACAATTGTTCTGTAAGGAATATACATTTGTATTAGGTACAGTGTGGTTTTTAGCAGATCCTTGGTGGCATATAAGCTAAAGAACTGCTGGTTATGCAAAACACTACAGCCAGCTCAATGATTTTAGTTGAATGTTCTATCTTTTTCTCTAGTCCATGTAAAGTCTTCATGGAAAAATGACAAGCAGTGGATCACGTATGTGATTATAGCAGATTCAGAAGCTGGCTGTCTGGAAATTAGAACTTCCCAAAGGCAGAGAAAAGGTCGATATAAGAGCTTCAAAACATACATTTTTTAAGGTGAAAACTAATTTACTGACTTTGCTTCTTCCTATACCTGCATCATATATAACTAGTTAACATAACTACTGTTTCTACTGGTTTCTGCTGGGGTAGAGAGCTCAGTTTTTATCTACAGTTGAAATTAATTCTTAAATTCCACTTTTTTCTTCCATTAGTTTTTTTAACTGAACGAAATTTTGGTAAAGGACAGTATTTGAGAGTGTATGTATTCTTCATTATGGAGTCAAATAATTATATAAGATTCTGCAGTTAAAAGAAATGATTCTGTATGCATTATTTATTTAGTAGGCAATCTATGAGGAATTAAAAATCCTTTGAAGAGATGAATATTGGTATTTCACTATGCTTAGTTAACTTTGTGTTCTAGTGTTTGAAACTATCCGGATGGATAATGTAAAGCCATTTCTTCTTGGACAACTATTTCTTTTGGTAAAGTAGAATTTTGTTCATAAAGGCAAGGATGGTAAAGTTGACCTAAGTTCTTTTAAAACTTGAAGCTGATTAGGATTGATCTCTAAACGCAGCTGTGTTAATGTACTATTATTAGCTAATTTTCAAAAGGAAATGGAAATTAAAAGTGTAAAACATGACTTACAGTACTGCCAAATCTTAGTCATTTTAGTCTGTTTATGTTTTTCTCGAATACACAGAATTTTATACTGTGCCAAATTATGTTAATGATGGAAAAGTGTTGACAAATAGTGTCATTACTATTGGTTGTACTTAATTAATCCTCCTGAGAAGTAGAGGACAAAAGTATAAGAATTTTTTATTTTTCCAAAATAACTAGCATTTTATATTTCAGCAGTAAAGTGTTTACTCATGAGGCCATTTTCATTTCACTTGAGAGATCTAAGAATATGCCTTTTTCCTTTAGTTGTGTACACCCAAAACAAATTTTTAAAATTCCATAGCGAGACAGTAAATGTTAATTTAAGGTTTTCAAACAATTTTGATTAATCAACAGGACATTTTAGTCTTGTTTTAAAATGTACAAATTAGATGTTCCTGTGTGTTTAGACAAATACTCCACATTGTCAAATAGTTGTAAATTACAATCTGTAACTGTGCAATGGGTTTAGTCTGTGTGAGGTCAGATATAAGTAGTGTACAGAGCATTTATATAACCAAGTTTCCTATGGCTCCTGCTCCTGAACAGTAACAAGCAGAGCATTACAGAACACTCACTGTGTCTTGATGCTTGCGACAGTCCACCTGAGGTAGTAGTTGCTAAAGAAAATGGGAGGCTCCTTATATAAACTATATTAAAAAAAAAATTCTTTTTAAAAGCACTTGCTTAAACAGACCCCAATCTCAGAAGTTGTACAGGACAATTTGGTAAAATGGACATAATTGTGATTTATTAACATGAATTAAAATGCCCAACCAGTGCTTCAATGTGACAGTATATTTAAAATAAAAAAGAAATTAAAGGCCATATACTGTACTACTTTCACAAAGATCACACAGTTTTGCAAAGACTTGTAATATGTACAATGCTATATATCAAATGAGAAAAGCTGTAAGCAATTTTATATGCAAAAGAAATGCAGTATTTACAGTTTGTCAGGAGACATTAAAAATCATCTATACATTAAATTACATTTTGCTTGCAAATAACCAATGAAACAAAATGAGCCATGTCCACACCAAACTATAAAAATCTGTATTGCATTTTTTTATATCTAAGATGCACTCACAGAACTGCTGACAGGAAAAAAATGAAAATCCTCATAGTGCCATTGCTTAGCTCTGTACTTAATGCATATGTATAAAATAATACAGAAAACATTCACTAAATGAATTTAACTGCAACAATAAAATTTAAAGATCATGTAGCATCAGTTCTACTGCCAGAAAACAGCTGGAATGTTCACTTACAAATAAAGATACCTAATACTGGCTTAATAGCACATTTTTAAAAAGCAAAAATGGGAACGATACAATGAAAGAGCACTGGTTTTTTTGTTTGTTTTTCTTTAATACAAAGTTTCATGTACAAGCTTTAAAAAGTACCTTAATAGGTACATATGAAATATACAGTTTATCTTACAGAACATTTTAAAAAATGTTTTGGGAGTCCATTTTAATGCCACCCTGAACCATGGTAATTGTTCTGAAATGTTGGTGGCACCTGTGCTCTGTGAATTGGAATCTGTCCAGGCACTGGAGATGCCTGCTGAGGTCCTTGAACCCCATGTGGCAGAGCCACAGAGCCAGGATGAGGACAGAACCCTGAAGCAGGTGTTGGAATACTGTTTGGTCCTTGGGGCTGGAGATGAGGACCTGCGACTGGTAATGGACAATGTGGCCCTGTTCCAGAAGGCTGGTGTTGGGCTCCCGGTCCCAGAGTGGTGTGATGTGTAGCTTGCGAGGGATACGGTGGTACAGCTGGATGAGCACTTGAAGGAAAAAGTGGAGGTCCTTGATGAGGTGGATGGTGTAAGGCTTGAGCTGATGTGGTGTGATGCCCAGAAGCCAAAGCACTGGAAGGTGGAGGTGGTGGTGGTGGTGGTGGTGCTGAATTTACAACATGCTGGTGTTGTGCTTGTAGACTTTGTAGTCCTGTAGAAGGATGGGGTGGTGGATGGTGATGAGGGGCAGGACCAGGAGGTGGAGGGGGTGGTGGCAAATGGTGTCCAGCTGTTTGAGCATGAATATGCGACCCAGGGGTGACAGCGTGAACAGGCCCTACTACATGTGCCACAGAGTGCTGCTGATGGGAACTCGGCTGTTGTACAAGGTGTGGTCCTGGAGCAGGTGGTGGTGGAGGAGGGGGTGGAACGACAGTAGCAGAAGTTGGATGGTGAATAGTAGGGTTCTGAGAAGGCAAAAAATGCCCTGGAGTAACGTGGTGTCCTGGAACTGTTTGTTGGCTTGTGGCGCCAGGAAGTGCTTGATTTGGTCCTGATGTAAACACAGTTTGTTGGGAAAGACTACCTTTAAGCTGATTATAATTTTGAAAGTTTGCAGAGGGCTGCTGGTTTTGATAATAAGATGAAGAAGGAGGCGGAGGTGGTGGAGGGGGTGGTGCTGCGCTGTTCAGACTTTGTTGGTTAAACTGACTGTATGTTGCTGAAGATTGTCCTGAGGGTGTCTGTGTAAATAACGTTCCAGAAGTTGCCTGCTGAGTATTGGCCTGAAGATTCTGTGCTGCTGGATAAAAGTTTCTCTGAGGCTCTCGCTGAGGTGTTCCAACTTGAGGTGACTGTGAATGGTGAGGCCTGTAAGGAGATCCTAGCTGCTGTGAAGGAGGCTTTGGTGAAAGATAACCATGCTGGACAGGCGTGTGAGGCGTCGATGACTTTGGAGGATTTTCTATGTGAGGTGATGGAGGACAGTGCAACTTCACTGGTGCAGAAGGCAGCTTTTGTGGAAGTTGCTCAGACGAATTACGAACGAGTGGCTGAGGAGGATTCTTTGAAAGTGCTTGGGTGTTATTTAATAGCTGTTTTTGTTGGAGTTCTGTTTTCAGGTGAACACCATTCTCAGCTTCTGACACAATACTTGTTGCTTCCCACTGGGAATCTGGTTTTGTGAGTATTTTCCCATGTGGCTGAACAGGAATTACAGGTCCTGGTGAACTAGGCTATGAAAAGAAAAATCATATAAACTATAAATTTAAGAAACATTTTATATATTTATATTGAGGCTTGTTATATTGTATTTAATGTTATTTAAATATTAATTTTAAAAAGGGGTAGGGAATAAGATTGGTTTGAGGAGTCAATTATAGAGGCATGGTGGTTCAAGGAATTCTGATAATAACCTTAAACTGAATTCCCTGAATTTTTATTGAAGACAAGTTAAGGAAATAATGATCTTTAATCTGCTTTTCCCCCCCTCCTAAGCAATGAAACCTGTTTTTGATCCCTACTCTGAAAGAACTCTAAAAACCCTAAACACTTAGCAAGTTTCAATTCCGTGACTGCAATCTCTACATCCAACCTAATGATAAATTGGTTTGGGTAAATAAAGTTGCTTCCTCAAAACTGCTCTGGTTGTAACACCTCTTACATTACTCATATAAATGATCCAAGTACACAACACTACAATATATATGATGTTCTTTAAGGACAAAGAAAAAGGAAGTCAATCTTAGATTCCTTATCTTTAGTTTCCAAAGTTACTGCCACATTAGATGATCAGAATTAGGGGTGGAATGCTTGGAAAAAATGTAAGCTGAGCTATTGAAGTGCATTTAGCGCATAAGAAAGGTTGGTCAAAGTGTCCAGAAATCACAAACTGGTATTTGATGCAGAAAAGTCTGTGTCCACATTACCATCCACTTTTCTGAATGACCATGTTCAAAGATCAATGTTATTACCTTGCTCATTTTTGAAGGGCTTTTACAAGCATTTTGAGAAGTATCTGGGGATGGACATTCATTTGTAGTCATGGGTTCTAGATTTTCAGGATCAGGATCTGTAAAGCAGAAGAAACATATAGTAAGTGCAAAATTCCATGATATATATTGCCTTTTACTAACACTACAAAGCAATGCACACTCTACTATTCAAGCTTTTTATAAAGGCTCTCTCCTTTCTCATTCAAAAAGGTATGACAGGTCATCTGCTTACTGACCTTCCATAAGTTCACTGAATGAAGGGACTGGGCCCTTGGGTTGCAACTGGGGAATGTGATTTGAATGAGATGAAGGTGAAGACTGAACATGACTCGGTGAACATGGGACACATGGTGATTCTCCCCCTAGAGATGAAGCAGAAGCAGACCCAAAGAGAACATTAGAACTGCAAAGAACAAGGGTGCAGAGTGATTAGCTGACTCCACTTTTTGGTAAAGGAACAAGTTCACTTACCAATATCTTTATCTTTTCGGTGATCGCTGAGAAGTAAAGCTCTCTGGTAACTCCTTTCTCTCACCTGTTCCACTGAAGTTGAGGCAGTCCTTTCAAATAAAATCATATCATCAATTCAAAGAAGCTACTGCTAGCCAGATTATTCTTTGTCCTTTGATGGTCAAAACATGCCCTCTCAGAGCAAGACTTTGTTCTTTTGGGAAACCATTTTGGTATTAAGGTTTGAAAACAGGTTTTTGTTTTGTTTTTTTCCTTTTCCTTACAGCTTTCAAAACAAATTTTATTCTCATTTATTTAAAGTACTCAATTGGACTCTATTCCTTTGTCTTAAGTAATTTCTTGGTGAAAATGAGGTGGGAGTTGGAGGGTCGTATATTAGCATTCAAAATGTCACTTCAGGTTACCAAAGGTACCAAATATACCCTTTGCAAATTACCTTGTGTCCAGATTGTAAGGTTAGCAGGAAGCTCTCAGGGGCAAGGGGACCAAGGAGCAACGTCATTGTGGCCTCCTGCCCTTTGCCAAGACCCATCCTATATCCAGCTGCTTATCCTACTGAAGAAACACTGTACTTGGTGATTCTTTCAAGGTAACTGGTAAAGAAATTGGAGGATGTTGACTATGATAAAGGTTCTTTGGAGAGGAATATTTATGTGAAAACTATCAAGGAGTAACCACAATGGACCTTTAACACAGGCAAATATATAGCTGGTTTACAACTCATCAGCACAGAGGGTTTTACAAAAGTATGTCCACAAACCTTTATTTGCT